GGAAGCTTAACTTTTCCTGAATCTACATATTAACTGTTAAATGTAAATATCATAAAACATGTAACAGAAAAGGGTGAAGGGTGGGGACACCTGGGTGGCTCAGTCAGTTAAAGCGTCTGCCTTCGGCTCAGGTCAGGATCTCAGGGTTGTGGGATCGAGTCCTGGTTCGGGCACCCTGCTCAGCGGGGGGGTTCTTTCTCCTTCTCCCTCTGCTGCTCCCCATGGTTGTGTGCTGTCTCCCTCTCTCTACCAAATAAAATGTTTAAAAAAATTTTGTCTTTAAAAAAATAAAAAGATGGGTGACGGATGGCCCTGGACGGAGGGGCTCGAGCCCTGGGCCAGAGCTGCGGGCGATGCCAGGATGCCCCCAGCTCCTGCCGTGGAACCAGCCCAGGACGTGAGCTGGAGCTGTGCTGGAGCTGGCTCCGTCCCCAGTGGTCGGGCTCGAGCTGCTTCTGAAACAGACTCCAAGACTCAGCGAACTGTCAGGCTGACATTGTTGCCAGATTTGGTGCAGAAACCAGCGGCAAGAAGACTGCTGCTCTGGAGCTGCTCCAGGCGTGCAGGTGGAGGGGCCGCCAGCTCTGGAGCTGCCATCGGGGGGGCCGACATCCGCAGTCGGTGCAGGGGCTGCTGTGTGCTGCGGTTCTGGCTTTATGGGTGGAGGTAAGGCTCGCTCTGCCGCGGGTCCGAGCATCTGCTCTAGCTCTCCAGGTGGTAGGTGCCCCTGTGTCTGTGCAGCGGGGGCAGGAGCTGGCTGCAGGGGCAGGGGGCTTACTCACACTGGGGCCCACTTGGCTCCAGCTCCCACGTTCCTGGCGAAGGCACCGCAGCAGAAGATGGAAATACCTTGAGCTCTGGAGCGTGCTTTGGGTCTGTAGCTGCTTCTGCAGCCGCGTCGACTCTGTAGTGGTGACCAGCCGTGCTGCAGTGGCCAGTCCTCCATCTGGAGATGGTGCCGAAGCAGCAGGAGGAGAGAAGATCACCACCCTGCCGGGGTGATCACCCTGTGCTGTTCCCCACAGCCTGGCCCTGTGCCTTCTCAGAGGAAACCCCCCACAGCCTCCCACAGCAGCGCTGAGCCGCCTTGAGAAGTGGCTCTCGTTCTCGGGCTGGCTCTCACTCTGCAACGATGCCGGATTGGGAAGAGAACTTGCCTCTGGAGGGGCTTGGCGGGTCGGAGCTGGAGGGGCTCTAGTCTGTGGGGGCACTGGCTCAGGCTCTCGAGCTGCTTCCACGGCTGGCTCCAGTCAGCGTGGGGGCACGTTCTAGTGCGTCAGCTGGTTCTAGATCTTAGCTGCCGCCAGGGCTGTCTCCTCCCCACAGATCGTGCAAGGTCTCGTGCTAGAGATGCTCTAGCTCTGTATCGCCCACTTGCTGACTGTGGGTGGGATGCTGACCCACCGGTTATGCTGGGAGCTCCGAGGGCAGGGAGGGTGTCTGTGGGTCCCCTCTGCATTCCAGCCAACAGACACAGGTGGGGATGATGCACGAGTGGATGAAAGAGTGAACACAAGTCTGGGGCCCTGATCTCTCATCTGTAAGCAACATCCCCTGCATCATGGGGCTGCTGGGGGATCCCACTGATTCACTACAATGTGAAGGGCTACCATCTCCCAGGCACGGTTTTGGGGGTTGGAGACCCAGCGGTGAGGAAGCACGGTCCCTGCTCGTGTGGGGCGGGCCGGAGCAGAGGTCAAACGTGGACTTCAGGTCCCCGGCGAGTGTCTCTGCTCAGCGGGATCAGTTGCCAGGAGCAGCGGGTCCGGCCCTTGCCCCTATCTGGCAGCTCAGGACCCACTCACGTGGGGAGCTTGGTGAAGGGCATGCAGGATCCTTGGTCTGAATTCCCCCGTAGCCATTACCCCAATTTAGCCGGTCCCATCACCATCCTGAGCTTTTTCATCTATGAAATGCCAGGGAAGGAAAGCCATTCGTGGGTTCAAGAGCCTTATTCAAGTGCGGAACCGGGTTTGGATCATCTCTGGAGGGGGATTCAGCTCTAACACCTGCCCCGGAGCTCGAGCCAGGTCCAACACCAATGCGAGCCGCAGCTCCCGAGAGTAGGGCAGCTGTAGCTTCAGCTCTCGTGCCAGCTCTGGGATCAGATAGAGAGAGGACACCTCCAAGGGCTGGAGGGACTGCCCCCCCTCACCTGCTCCTGCTGCACCAGCTTCTGGGGTCCTGGTATGCTCTTGCCGTGGCCTCAGGTGAGAAGGG